CTGGGTTCCAGTCCCAGATCTGCTCTGGAGCCCAGTTTCCTGCTAATGTACACTCTGGGAAGCAGCAGGTGGTGGGTCCCTACCACCAATGGGAGACCTGAATTGAGTTCCTTGCTCCCAGCTTCAGCTGGGCTAGCTGTTGTAGATATTTGGGTGGTGAACCTGCAGTACAGAAATTTCTCTCTCCTTTTCTCTTTCTTTCTGCCTCCCAACTAAACAAAGATTTTTTAAAAAGGAAACAAGTTTATATTTAGGACCATTTATATTTATTAAAGATTTTTTTTTGGGGAAAAGTATACATGTATGCATATTAGAAGCACTAAAAACCTCAAGTGTATTTGAAATGTTTTTAGCAAATGCCAGTTTTTGAAATTTTATTAATGATAAATCAAATATTATGCTCATATATCTTATATGAAATTTACTGAGACTTGCTTTATTATAAAGATAATAAATATGATAAAAGTCAATTTGAACTGACAGTTATAAAAATCATCTCTTAGCTCTAGACTGACTGATTAAATTTATTGCTGTAAATGTATTATCTTTATATGTGTATATAACATGTGTATGTAAACACCTGTATATGAATGTATGCATGCTTTAAGAGTGTGTGTGCCCTGTTTTTACAAATGAAATTGTCTCCCACATAGGTGCAGGAGCCCAAGCACTTGGGCCACCTTCCACTGCTTTCCCAGGCGGGGAGTGGGGTCAGAAGTAGAGCAGCTGGGACCCAAACTTATGCCAATATTGAATTCTGGCTTTGCAGGTGGAAGTGTAACCCCAAATGCCACAATACTGTCCCTGGAAGTTGTTTTTGTGTGTTTTGCTGCTTTTCACTTAACGATCCAGTGGCCATTTCTTTTCCCTTTACTGATTTTTACTTAATTTGTACTCCTCAATGGATGGTGGTATTCATCTGGTAATCAAATTTCTGGAATCAGCTTCCTGAGTTTTCCTTAGCGGCAGAAACTTTTCTAGGAGTTTTTTAAACATCCTAAAGTTTGACCGAATTTTCAGCATAGTTACACTGTTCTCTAAGGTCAGACAGACAGTAAGTGTCATAGCCAGAATGAGGACCTGCCACTCACTGGTCAGGAGAGCAGAAGTCCAGTGTTCTCATCCTGGCTGTATTACTTATTATTGGTGTGACATTGGGCAAGTTGTTTTCTCATTGATTTTGAAATGGGAATTGGATTCTGGGTCCTGGTGACTTCAAATAGAAGTGCTTTGAAAGCGGTAAAATTCAAAAACTCACCGTTTATTTATTTATTTATTTTCAATTTTGGTCATCTTTCAACTTGGCCGCTCATTTGAAGTCTTAGGAAGAAATTCATCACTTAGGAGATCTGCTGAGTATTTTTGGATGTTGCTTTGCTTCATTTTCCTCTTGATGTTTTATGAATTCTCAGCTTTCAAAGTTGCGTGACAACCTGTAAAGGTTCCTATAAATCAATAAAGCTATCTTTAGTCATTGTAAATGTCAAAAAATAGATGGAATTCTTCATCTGTGTTTGGACATGTTACTTTTATTCATTTCTCAACAACAGTCACAAATATAGTAGAGCTATATTTTCAAATTACTGAGGATATTGGAGCATTATTGATATTTCATTTTCATTTTGTGGTGTTTTGTTGCATGTTAGCAACTGAATTTCCATTTCCTGAAACAGGGAAAATATATTTGTTTTCATTAAAAGGAGAAATGTTTTTTGTGATTACATTTTGTGTTATTTATATATATTGAAGGTCAAGTGGATATCACTGGAAGTCTGGAAAAGTGGGCAAATTGAGTAATCAATCACACATGATGCTGCAAAATAAAGGAAATTCTATTAAGGTAACAAGATATGATTTGATTCTCGGGCAATTTGCTAAGCAAGAAGATATAAATTATGTTTTCAGATCTTGGATTCCCTCCATACTCAGGAATTCACTATTCTTATCTTAATAACTTTGCATAATAGTCAATATTTGATTCATTTTTATGGTAAATACACAGCCTTCATTATTCATATTTTTGTTTTTCATCTAAAGTTCATTTTAAAAAATTTGCCTTGAGGTGAATTTCTGTATTCTCATTTTTTCCAAATTTCAAATGGCCTTTATCCATGCAGCTCAGTTCTGGTTTAAAGTATGTGAAATAGTTCTATATAATTCTATATTAAAGTGAAAGCTAATGTTATTGATATGACAAGTGATATACTTTATTTCTACATTTATATATTATATCGTGTTTATTGGTTTTACATTATTTTGAATAATGCTCAAGAATATATAGTTTGTTCCATGTGTGAGAATCTGCTTTCTGTGTATTTCTGGAAAAAATGGTTTTTTTTCAGTTTCCCAGCTATATATTTACTTTATCTTACCTTTTATTAAACATATAAATTAACCTTATATTTATTTAAAATTAAAACCAGGTAAAAGTTTTTGCAAAAAAGAAACTATTTTGCTTCTGAATTCTATAGTATAAGATCCATGACTTTGTAAATTTTAACTTACATGGCTTTTTATTTTTTATATACCTATCATTAAATTTTCATTGAATCAATTGGTATCCACAAATGTCTTACTCATTACTTCTAAACTTTTTGGCATTGCAAAAGCATTTTACTGTGTGGTGTCATTCCCTTAATCAGATAGGTTAATTTTTAGGGTAAAAGTTTTATAATCTACTTTTCATTTTTCATTATCTTGCCAATGTAGTGTTCTGTGTTTCAGATATTATCGTAAATATATTAAAAGTGCTGACTATTCATGGTTATTAACTTTGTAATTATTAACTTAATAAGTTTATTAAATGCTTTCTTTCTCTTATAATGAGTTTTTTTTTTTTTTTAAGATTTATTTGAAAGACAAAGTTACAGAGAGGCAGAGGCAGAGAGAGAGAGGAGTCTTCCATTCACTGGTTCACTCCCAAATGGCTGCAATGGCCAGAGCTGGGCCAATCCAAAGCCAGGAGCCAGGAGTTTCTTCTAGATTTTCCATACGGGTGCAGGAGCCCAAAGACTTGGGCCATCTTCTACTGCTTTCTCAGGCCATATCAGAGAGCTGGATTAGAAGTGGATCAGCCAGACTTGAACCCATGTGGGGTGCCAGCACTGCAGGTGGCAGCTTTACCCACTATGCCATAGGACTGACCCTAAATAAGTTATCTCTGCTCTCAAGGAGTTCCTAATTTAAAGTAAAGATGAGGTGCATAAAAATAAATATTTATGGTAAAGTTCAGTATGTAATTTTTTTGCCATAATCATTTAGCATATGCACAATCTGCTTGAGAAATAATAGTTTGGTTCTATGAATATTTAAGATTCTACTGGGTATATTTAAAAGAAAAACAGTGAATAAATCGGAATCCAAATCCCTACAAATCTTATAAATAAGTGGGAGGTTGAGAATATAGAGGGTTGTGGAGCTGTGGAAATGGGTCTCAAAAGAAAGATTGGGCAGGAGGATAGAAGGATGTGAATATTAACCTCGGTAGTGTTGATGTGTTGCATTTGTTTAAGGGAATTCCTTGACAGTCTTTGAGCAAAAGAGTAGTAAGCAAAGATAGTAATTCATGATGAGTGATCTCGTTCAAACATCCAGTGAATTTGGAGCTGTTAAAGTATGGAGCAAGTGGTCTCTAAACTGTTTTGAACATGAGACACACGAGAAAAGAATATATTTTGAGTATAGACTTCCTATATATGTACTACTGTTTGTTTTGCTTTTGTATACTTAATTTTTTCTTTTATTCTTAACTTACATGTAAAAATTTCACATATGTATGGGGTACCATGCAGTGTTTTTATACATATCTAATTGAGATAAATACTTCTGTCTCCTCCAAAGTACATTCATATATAGAATTTATTTATATATACTGTTACTAAAATATATATTATCTGCATTATAAAACAAAATATGGAAATTAGAATGTGATAAACAGAAATATAAGTAAATGTTTTATTTTTACTCTCCTTTTTATGAGCTCCTTTGGCAGACATGCTACTTTGCAGGCCACTGGTATAGAGGCAGAAAGACTATTAGGAAGAGTTTAAATAATCTGGAGGTCAGATGAAAGAATTCTGAATTAGAATGATGGCAGAAGATATAAAGGGAAGTAAGGAACCAAAAAATAGTGAGAAAGGAGAACAGGAAGTCAAGCATACGTTCTGTTACATGCTGGGCTGGCTAGGAGATAGCATAAGGAAAGGCATTAGAATTATTTGGGATGTACATTTAGAGTTTTGTTTGAATACTCACATGATGGGAAACTGAGAGGGTAAATGAGCTCCCTAAGAATTTGTAAAGAGGAGAAACTTCTGAAGAATGGAAGCTCAAGAAATCCGGTGGATGGAATATGGGGGCAAAATGAGCATTAATATTTAACACCACTCAACGGTTTAGCCTTTTTCCCCTTTTTATGTTTTCCTCATGAAGTGCTTCTGTCAGTCCTAAGAGCACTTGTTATTATTCAGGGTCCTTAGATCAAGTAACTCAACATCAAGTAAATGCTGAAGGTCTGGCATCAGAACTGAGACTTGAATGCAGGCCCTTTAGGCTTGTTATTAGATAACTGGCCCATTCTTATGTGAAGGGTGAACTCAAGAGGCTTCCATAGCCTTGGCCGCTCATGACAAGAGCCTCCGGTGATTACTGACGTCATAAATAAGAGTGTCAGTTGTTAAATCAACAACAGGAGTCACTGTGCACTTACTCCCCATGTAGGATCTCTGTCCTTAATGTGTTGTACTATGTGAATCAATGGTATAACTAGTACTCAAACAGTACTTTATAATTTGTGTTTCTGTGTGGGTGCAAACTGTTGAAATCTTTACTTAGTATATACTAAATTGATCTTCTGTATATATATAAAAAAAGAAAAAGTATATCAGGAGTAGATTTGCTGCAGTACAATTTTATAGAAGGTCAAGTAAAGGAGGGCATTTTTAGAACATATGGAGGGGCCAGCGCTGTGGCGTAGCAGGAAAAGCCACCTCCTTCAGTGCCGGCATCCCTTATGGGCATTGGTTCGAGACCTGGCTGCTCCACTTCCGATCCAGCTCTCTGCTATAGCCTGAGAAAGCAGTAGAAGATGGACCCAGTCCTTGAGCCCCTGCACCCAAGTGGGAGATTGGAAGAAGCTCCTGGCTCCTGGCTCCTGGCTTCAGATCAGCACAGCTCTGGCCATTGCAGCCATCTGGGGAGTGAACCAGCGGATAGAAGACCTCTCTCTCTCTCTGTCTCTCTGTCTCTCTCTCTCTCTCTGTCTCTCTCTCTGTCTCTGTCTCTCTCTCTCTCTCTCTCTCTGCCTCTTCTTCTCCCTGGTTTAACTGTGACTTTCAAATAAAATAAATAAATCTTAAAAAAAAGAACATATGGAGAAGTCAATATTGTCAAGTACATTGCATAGTGAAGAGAGTTTTGAGTATCAGTTAGATCAGTGTTTCTCAATGGGACAATTTTGCTTCCCAGGAGACGTTTGGCAATGTCTTGATGACGATTTCAGTTGTTACCACTGAGAAGTTTGTGCTTTGTCCAGGCAGTCAGCCTAACTTAAGCTGCTTGCATCCCACACTGGAGCACTTGGGTTTAATATTTGACTCCAACTCCAGACCCCACAATGCAGACCCTGGGAGGCAGCAGTGATGATTCAAGTGACTGAGTGTCTGCCACCCATGTGGGAGAACTGAATTATGTTCCCAGCCCTTAGATTTGGTTCCAGCCCAGTCCTGGCCCTTGCAGATAACGGCGGAGGGAACCAGTGGGTGGAAGCCCTCTGTATGTATGTCATTTTCTATATCTCTTAAATTAAAAACAGAAAATAGAAACATCCTGAAACACACAGGAAAGCCACCATCATAAAGAATTTTGTGGTCAAAAATATCAGTAGTGCTGAAGTCCTCAAACCCTGTATGAGACTAATAGATTAACATTTTGACTCTTTTCATCATCAGCTTGGTGATCTTGGGTAAGTCGCTTAACCTTTCTGAGTCTCTATTAACACATTTATAAACTTACACAATAAATACCAACTAACAGCTTCACACAGTTTTGAGCAATATGTGAGACAATATATGTGAAACCAGTTTGCACATTAAAATCCCTCTTATGGAGAATGGGATTTTTTTAAAAACTGAGTTTGATGATTGAGACTTTATCAGATGTGAAAATATATTTCAAGTGGTTGAAAAGGAAGGCTAGGAGACCATGAGGGGAGAAAAAAGGGTGGACTTTCAAGGGTTTAATAGGATCTAAGAAAAACTTTATTACACGTTTTTTTTTAGGACTGGGGAGAAGATGTGAGCATTTGTGGGCTGAGGGAGAGACATGCTGGTAAAGGACAGATTGCAGATTCAGGTGGGAAAAGTGCCGGTTACTAGGGATATGGTTTTTTAAAAGATGGTTCATCACAGGAAGAAGCATACTTTCTTTTTGTCCTGAGGTGAGATGGATGGGAGAGAAACCGATGAGAGTAAAAAAGTAAATTTTAGAGGTTGTGTTTGATAGATGGAAAGTGTTAGAACCTGTGGAAAATTGTAATGGGAAGACCTTGACATTGCTGGTAAAGTTGAAGTCACTGTTATCTGCTCGGGGTATGGAAGGATGAATTTCAGTTCTTGGGAATGGTGAAAGTTTGGAATAGCTACTGTGGGAATCATGGTTGGGGTTTAGGAGAAAATGAATAAATGGACCGCTGAAAAGCCATAGGACCCACTGAGGATATTCAGGACGGATTTTATGGGAGCTCTTTGGTATTATTTCATCATAGTAGTGGGTAGATATGGGAGGTCTAGGAAGAAGGAGGTACGATGATTGAGGTTAGAGAAATTCTGCATTTGGGATTTTGAAGGTGTGTCCAGTCACAATGCTGCTTAGGTACAAGGTTTGATCATAATGGTGGGCTGAGAGGCATTGAAATGTTCACAAGTAGCCAGCATGTTGGAGAGTCTTCAGTCCCAGGATGTCAGGTGAACATGGACATTGAAATCTTCAAGGCTATCAGAGGAATGCTGAGTAGACTGCTGAAGTTCAGGTGGAGGAGGACCACAAGAGTTGGTCAAGGCAATAAATGGATGGTGGAGACCTCCAGAAGAGATGACTTTGCTGACTGATGATAGCGGAACAGTATTCTGGAAGCAGCACTGAAAAGCATACAGGAAAAAGAAATATTTTTTCTTCTGTCCTGGTAAGTGAAAGGCAGTGGAAAAGGAGCTCAATCCTTTGGAAAGCGCATTGGAGGAGGTTGTGTTTAAGGAAAGGTGGATGTCCATGAATGTGAAGTTTTGGATGAAACATTTTTGGAAAAGATTTAAAGCAGGGTCAAGGGATCTTTTTTTTTTTTTTTTTCTACCAAGGGCTATTTGAATATTTATAACATCATTAGTGGGCCATACAAAATTACCAACTTAAAGATTAGCCTGCTGTAGACTTATTGAATTTCCCGGTCTGCTGGTGGTTGCCTCGGCAGGGCCAGCCCAGAGGATTTCATGGACCTTAAATGGTCTGCAGGCCAGATGTTCCCCACTCCTGATTTAAAGCATAAGATAGTTAAAATAATGTTTCATAGGGGCCCTGTGGAGGAGGAGGGGAGCCTAGGTGGGTGAGCAATCAGTAGAAAATAGCAAAGGTTCAGCAGATAATTTGGATTGGGGGTGAGAATATCTGCAGTGGTGGCCTGGTGTGGCAGGTTTAGGCATTGGTAGGAGTTTGGAAGCATTTGTGAATGCTGAGGAGGCTGATGTGTCAGCAGAGCCTGACCCCATGGCTCATGTGATAGTCTGTGTGGTACCTCCAATGAACTGCTCTAGACATTGGAAACACCCTTCAATGCCAGCTTGTACAGATGTGAGTTAATAAAGCATAAGCTTCAGTATTAAATTTGTGATTATTTTGATATACACACATATACATGCATCCATGTATGTGTATATGTATCTGGATATGTGTATGTATATATGTATACATGTGTGTGCATGTGTTCATCCTTGCTCTGTTCCTACTCTGCACCCAGCCCTTTCTCAAACAAATTGAAATCAGACTTCACAGGCACTTGTACTTTAGCTGGGAGCAGTTTGTTCACTGAAACATTTTTGTGCATTTTGCATCATTTGACGTGAATATGGCCATATTCATAGAACAGAGAAACTTTATTCATAATAGTAAAAAAATTACAAAATTTCCCTACTAATGGGTTTATTTTGTCTTGGCATATCTATTCATTGTGTCCAGGTAGCCTGAATCCACACCGATCATGTTGTAATTCAGATGTATCATTAAGGTAATCATATTGGGTAATTTGGTTATGAAAAAGGAGATTAAATTATCTGTAACTTGTATAACATTTCCAATTTAAAATTGAAAGTATGATTCATACCCAAGTTGATTATTTCAATTCTATTTTCTTTTCTGCTGTGTTTGGTGCAGAAAACATCTGAATGGCTCCTGCAAAGAATATGAACAATAAGTGTCCCTTTGAAGCAGAACCACTAGACTCACAGAGAATAATTAGGCCTAAATTTTCAAAGATGACTGCAGTTGGTACAGCCATGGATATAGAAACAGTCATTGTTCTCGTATTCTCATGTACAAATTGAGCAATTGAGCATGCAAATTGCAAACTGAAAACTAAGCATGAATTGACAATGTCTGTATAAATGCACACCATTCACCATGTTCATTTGTGTACTTTAAATGTTAGTCTAATAAGATCAAGGCAATTGGCAACTCCTTTTTATTTCCTAGACTGTTAAGATCCCAGAATTTTTAAGTTATTATTTATTTGAAATACCTGCTAGTAAATTTTACTTACTCAGTTTTTCTGGCTACAATGTAGGAAAGTCAGAGATCATAAATATTATATTTGAAGATTAAGTTTATGATGCTTAAACCTATGGTTCTCTAAATTGGACAAATTGGCTTGTGCAGTGTATAAGCAGACTCAGTCAGAATTAAGTTTAGATTCAGGATGCACAAATATTAAGCTTTGTGGATTTCAGAAAGAGCTGAAATAGAAAATATTTATTGAATCTTTGCAATATTTAGATACTAGCTTTCCTTAGAATCATTTTATGTAATATATGGCTGTTTTTGTTTAAATATATATTTTTTTAAAAATGGTTTATATATATTTCCAAAATTGATTTTCTTTTTAATGAATTTTCTCTTTAATAAATTGAAAGGTCTATATTTGCTTTACTGATGATCTACTAATTTTATATTGTTATTTAAAAATAAATTCTTGTTCAACATAAATCATAATGGTATAGCTTTCCAATGTTTTTGTTAAAACTTAATCTTTCTTTGAATTAGAGAATATTTATATGACAAATAGTATCTATCTCATTAATACAGCTTTCAGCCGGAAATGTGAGATTAAAGTTACTGAAGGAGCAGATCCAAGGTAAATAATTTGTCACTGTATTAGTAGATGCTAAAGATACAATTAATTTTGTTTTTTCACTTGAATTACATTTATTATTAAAGTGCTATAGTTGTTCATACAGTATAAACAATTCTAAACTCCAAAATGATGATAATTTGACTTTCAAAGTAAATTTTATTCAGGTTGATATTTTTGAGGATGGTCTTATTTTCTGTCAAGAAATTTCATCCTAGAACATGATTATAGTAACTGCATTTTTTTTCAAAAGCTAGGACTTCCATAGCACTGATACTTAAACTTCACTGATGTAATCTTTTAACCAGGAAGATAATTTATCAGTGTAAAGTTATTTGAAATTCTGTATGAAATTAAAAAATATTGAAAAATTATCTAATATTTTAAATTTTTAAAAAATAGCAAAAAATTCAAATTTATAATAATTTTTTTCTTTCTTTCTTTTCTTTCTTTCTTTTTTTTTTTTTGACAGGCAGAGTAGACAGTGAGAGAGAGAGACAGAGAGAAAGGTCTTCCTTTTGCCGTTGGTTCACCCTCCAATGGCCGCTGCAGCCAACGTGCTGCGGCCGGCGCACGGCGCTGATCGTAGCCAGGAGCTGGGTGCTTCTCCTGGTCTCCCATGGGGTGTAGGGCCCAAGCACTTGGGCCATCCTCCACTGCACTCCCTGGCCACAGCAGAGAGCTGGCCTGGAAGAGGGGCAACTGGGACAGAATCCTGTGTGCGGTGCTGTAGGCAGAGGATTAGCCTATTGAGCCGTGGTGCCGGCCCAAATTTATAATAATTTTAAATTAATTGTTTTTCTGGAAGACAAATGCATTTAATAATTTAGTAGATTTTCAAAATTAAATATAACACAGTGTAAATAGTTAAAATGTTATAAATGTTTAGAGTTTATTCTTGGTTGATTTCAGTTTGATTCAGAGATGGGAAAGAATGCCATAAGAATTCCATCAAGAGCATGGCCTTTAACATTCATGGTTCTGTATGTTCAGTTCAAGTGAGTTTGAAGTAGAATGGATATGAGTGAGGTGTGGCCTATATTCATGGGACCTGGTGGGGACTACAATGGGCCCTGCATCCTACTTATAGATTAGACTTGGCTATATTTCATTTTTATAGGGCAAGAAATATTTAAATAATATTTGAGAATTTGGGTATGTAAATGCTTTTCATTGCTTTTTCAGTCAGAAAACTAAATATCATATTCTAAAGGGTTGTTCTGACATTTATTTTTCTTCCAGAGTCAGAGAAAAAACCATTTAATTATAAAATGGCAAATTCTTCCAGAAGTGAAAAGCCCAAGATAAAAGGGAAAGTTTGCGGCCAGTGTGAGGACAAAGCTGCTCTACTAGTATGTACCAAGAATAAGTAATTGGCATAGAATTTTCAATGAGCTAGCACACCTCTCCATCTTAATCTGCTTTAGCAATCTGATGCTTTTCCTCCATTATTGTTACATGAGTGACATGTGCATGCTGCCAAGTGAGGCCAACATCTATACTTCCTCAGTGAATTCAGTGAGACTCATTCTGTCATTTTTGTTCAAGGAGGTCACCTTACATCTTGTCCTTTCTCCTTTGGATCATGCATGTTGGCACACAAACATGTTGCAGTGTCTCCCATCAAAAACCAAAACCAAAACCAAAACGAAATTTAAAACAAAAAGTTTCTTAAACTCCAGATCTCTCTATACACCCTATTACAGTAATACTCTACTGAGGAATTATTTATATTGGCTCCTATATTTGTTGAAGTATAATTTACTTAGTGTGAAATGGACTGATCTTAAATGTACGATTAAATACCTTTTGATAAATGTATACAGTATGTAGATTATTATCTGCAGCCCAGATAGTTCCCATTGTACCTCTTCTAGACACAAAGACAATTATTGTAATTTTTATCACCTTAGGTTTAGCAGAGCCTTCTCTTGAACTTTATATTGATGAAATGACATAATTTGTGTATTTTGGTTTCTTTTCCTCCATATGGAGATTGAACCATGTTATTGAATTTAACTGTAGTGTGTGCATTTGTATTATTGAGTAATATTCTAGCCTATGTATTTACTACTTTTGCATATTGATTCACATATGGAATGCCATTTGGATTTTTTCAGCATTCTAAATTTTTTTCTATTATGTGTTAGGCTGCTATGGGCATTTATGCATGAGGTTTTTTTTCTCTATCAAATGATGTACATTTTTCTTCTGTTACAAGTTTTGAAATGAAATTTATAACAGAAAAGAATGATTTCTAACAACTCTGACTTTGCCTTGGGATCAATTTCTTGAGTATCTTTAAAATTATTACAAAACACACATAAATTAAAGTTTAGCAACTTAGCAATTTTTAAGTGTATACTTCAGTGCCTTAAGTATCATCCATGTTTCTGTCTGGTAAAACTATGATTCTGCACCCATTAACCAATGACTCCCCATTTCTCCTGACCCCCTAACCCCTAGAGACTACCATTTCCTTTGTCTCTATGGATTTGACTAAGTACCTTATATAAATGCAGTCATACAGTACTGACCCTTTTGTCACTGATTTATGTTACTTGGCATAATTTCCTCAAGCTTCAGAATTTCCTCCTTTTTTAAGACCAAATAATTCATTGATAGAGCTCATATATTGTTTATCTCTTGGTGGACACTTGGGTTGCTGGCTGGTGTGAGTTAATGCTCTGTGAACATGAGTGTACAGACATCTCTTTAGATCCTGCTGCCATTTCTTTGGACTATGTACCTGCAATTGGAATTGCTAGATTCCCAATTTCTTTTGAACTCTGTCCATTGAGTTGTGGGTGTCCTCTGTCATCCAGCAACTGTTCCTGTTGAAGTCATCAGAGTCCTTCACATTCTTAAATACAATGTTCAATGTTTAGCTGTAATCTGAAATTATTAGGAATACTTATCACAATGTTTCTCTCCTTATCTATGATTTCCTTCATTTGGCTTCCTCTGGGACACTAAGCTCTCTGGGACTCATTTTACTTTGCTACCTGTTTCTTAGTCTCCCCTGCTGGTTTTCCAAATTTTTAACTGAGGCCTATTCTTGATCTACACTTATTCTCAAGGTAAATTTATACATTCTCTTGGTTTTGAAGACTGTTTCTCCATTGATGATTCCAAAGTTCATATATCTACTCCATAGCTTTCTTGCGTACGTACTTTTGACTCAAACACCTACTCAACACCTCTGTTGAATATCTAATAGGAATCTTAACTTACCATGTTCAAGGTAAGGCCCTCTAACAAATATTCTCCCTCTAGACTTGACTCATGTGCATGAAAGTCAACTCAAATGTTACCTTCCTGGAAAGTCCTTACAGCAAAAGCTAAGTTGCCCTCTAGTTTTGTGAAGCTACTCCATTCATCAACAATAATGTTATTGTGTAATGTATGTTTGTTTATTTTCTACCTAGCTATAATGTAAACTTCTTAAGGTTAAAGGTTTAGTCTAGTTCACTGCTGTGTACTCACCACCTAAGGTTATGTTGCAGTTCAGTAGGCACTCAACAAATAGTTGTTAGATTAATCATTTCTTTAAAACTCTTCCATAATATAGACTTTTACTTAGTTTATATATATTTTAATTTCAGTATTGAAGGTACCTCATTAAATTTTGCAATTGAAAATGCTGCTATACATTTGTATTTCTATAAGAAACAGTTTACCTCTCAAAAATTTAATGATTCTGATATTTAGATTTGCTATAGTTTTAGCGAATTTAGCCATCATCCTTTCTGATTTGACTGTATTGCTAGCACATTTTTTTAAAAGATTATTTATTTGAAAGTCAGAGTTACGCAGAGAGAGTAGAGGCAGAGAGAGAGAGAGGTCTTCCATCACCTGGTTCACTACCTAATTGGCCGCAACGGCTTGGAACTGTGCCAATCCGAAGCCAGGAGCCAGGAGCCAGGAGCCAGGAGCCAGGAGCCAGGAGCCAGGAGCTTCTTCTGAGTCTCCCACGCAGGTGCAAGGGCCTATGTTCTTGGGCCATCTTCTACTGCTTTCCCAGGCCATAGCAGAAAGCTGGATTGGAAGTGGAGCAGCCGGGTCTCGAACGGGTGCCCATATGGGATGCTGATGTTTCAGGCCAGCGCGTTAACCTGCACAGCCCTTGCTAGGCACATTTAATGGAAGTTTTAACTGGGTTAAAATAGAGTGCTATACACCTAATACATAACTAAAAGAATATTAAATCTAAAATCCCGACTTGGCACAGTGCTGTTATTGTTATATCATACTACTTACTGCTTTTTTATTTGACACAATAGTTGACAATAAATTAAGGAAATTGAAACTATCCAGAAATATTTAAAATATAAATAAATGCTAATAGTCCTTGAGTTTGAAGTTTGAGAGCTATAAAGGGCGTTTGAATTATTGGTGTCCACTATTAATGATCTTAAAAAAGGATTTGAGTAGGAGCTGTGAGTCAGCATTTCTTGGGAATCCTACGTTGTGTTGGATTCATTTTAAAGGCAATGGAACCGAATAGTATGGCATAAGTAGCTAGGTCTTGACCTAGACATAAAGGTTCAGTTTTTTCTAGATAGATGGAAAATAAGAGGAAGGAAATTACACCCAGGATAAATGATATGTGACTTGGCTGGAAAGCAGACAAGAATGACAATGTGTAAAGAGACTGAAGAGCTGGTTCGCCACAAAACTATACAGAAACCAGGATTCAGACCCTGAATGTTCTTGAAGAATTTCTCTAAGGTTTTAAGACAGAATGTTCTTTGAATTGAAATAATATTCCATGATAGTTGTCAAAACCCAATAAGAAACTGTTTAAAAATTTGAGAGATTTGAATATCAATCTTACCCTTCACTAACTATTTGATTTTTAGCAAGCGACTTCACCTTTCCATATGTCTTTTCTCATTTGTAAAATGGGTTAATAGGCATAACAATAGTCTATATCTCAAAAGCTATTGAGGATGACGACTTAATGCTCACAAAGTATTCAGCATTGTGTTGGGGATGTAGAAAGGAGACAATCAGTTGTGTATTTCTGTCAACACATTTTCTTACAACCTGAAGAATTCACATGCACCTAAGAGTATATTGATAGAAAGATGAAACTCACAACTTCCAAATATATTATTTTTAAAAGAAATCTCCATCAGTTTATGCTGTTTCTTGATGACAAAAGTAAGGTGTCGAGTTTAAATACAAAATATTAATTTGGCAAATGTAGATACTTTAATACAACTCAAATGGATTCTGAAGACCTCATAAAGCTCTCCTGGCATTCATCAAATTAACACGATCCTTGGGAAAGCTGCACTTGGGCATTCCATCATAGAAGAAGCATCTGTGATGGAATGGAGTCCACTTTTAGAATGTTTCTGCCGGTTATACAAACTTCCTAAGCATATTTTCCAGTTGGGGGTCATTTTCACCCACTTTAAATCCAAATGTGCTTGTATAACAAAATACATATGCTTACTCTGGAACTCCTACTTTGACATTCCAGTCTGCAAACACCTCTTTGGCTACTGTCATTAAAAGTCTGCTGTGGGTAAATACTTGGCTTAGAATCATATTCTGAAACTGATTTTCAGTAGTACTACCTTGTATTATAAAAACAGTGCCCCAAACTTAACAGTAAATTTGTTAAAATATTAGCCAATACATTAGGCATAATGCAGTGAAATGAATATTAATAGTCCTGTCATATTTTTATGTGAAATTATACTTTTCATTGAATTTTCATTTAAAATTATAAATTTAGAGTAAAGTTTTGATCATTTCTCCAAGAGACTGAAGCTCTTGAAACAAGAACTAAAAGTGTAGAACTAATTCCTCTGTTCGGAATTACGTTTATTTTTATTCTTCTTAAATAAAAACTCAGTTCTGAATAGCTAATCATATTTGAAAAATATTATTTAAACCTGATCACTCATTTGACATGTCCCATTATTTTATTGCAGATATCATCAGGGGTTTCCACTAAATCATTAGTACTGCAATTAATGTTTAGGGATTGATCCAATGAGTGGCAGTGTATGCCATGATTTAGTCTGAGATTTGAGCCAAAGTGTGCATTTGAAATCTTAGTTCTTCCACTTCTAGCTTGTATGACTGTGGGAAAATTCTCAATCATTGTGTCCCTTTTTATCTGAAAGAGGTACAATAATCATTCTTACCTGATAGGTGCTGTGATGATTAAATGAGATTAAATATGTGAAGCCCCCACCAACAGTCAATAAGTGCTCACTAAATGTTGTGGATGTTTCTATTATTTTATTCCAGCCACCTTTTAACGTTTCTTATTAGTTTTGCTCACATACAATTTTCTACTCATTTAATCTCTTTTCTAGTATTATCTTAATTATTTTATTGTTAATAGACTTGACTACATTAATATAGGTAACCATGTCATCATATGGGGACTTTAAATGTCATTTTAAACCATTAATGCACTTAAAAACTCTTAATTAAGAGTTTAGTCTACTTGTCCATGTCAAATATGAGAAGTCTTCAGAACATTCATAGAAACACCATATCATGAGAAAACTGTACACAGATCACAAAATTTTTTGCACCGAGGTAAACATACTTTTTCACTTCATTTCATTTTTCCATGAACTCTTTGAAGTGCCCTCATGGAATACAGCGCCTTGTCATTCAACAGGTGTCTGCAGGGCAGCACCATGAACACTGCTTGGGAGCTTGTTAGAGGCAGGGTCTCAGGTCCCATTCCAGTCCTGCTGAAACAGAGCCTGCCTTGCAACCGAAATCCCAGGTGATTCCCATGTCCATTACAGTTGAGGAGGTGTCATTCGATTGCACGTTTCTGTTGTTTATTGGCCAGCACAAATGCAGAAGAGCTTCTCTGACTTTTTGCTAGTGTCACCCAGCTGGATTATCTTTATTATTCCATGGTAAGGGGATAGGGAGAGGGGTGGGAATAATGGTGGGAGCTCTGAGAGGAAGTGAAAGGATCAGTGGAACTCTGAGCCTCTTGACATACACATTTGGACCCCATCTCTCCAAGCAGGGTGGCTTTCTCATGCTATGGGTCATTCCCTATCTGTGCCAAAATAAAGAAAATCAGGGATCTTAGCCATTTACACTGTAGACTGAAGCTGGAGTATGACAGCAAGGTATTCATTTCACTTGTAACAAAAATTCCATTTTTTTTTTCTCTGGATTTGGGGTCCTGTTTGGCACCATCCTAGGTACAGGTTCAACTCATTCTTCAATTTATGCATACATCTTTAAAGTTACATTTTAGCATTGCAGAGATTTGGAAGGCAAATGTAAACTTACCCATAATCATTTTCCCAGTGATAAACATCGCTGATGCTGTGATGCAGTTCCATCCAGTGTTGTTTTTGTATTTTCTTTCTTTTGAGTATGTTTCTGAGAATACTTTTAAAAAATCATACTTTGAGAATCATCAGTCAAAAAGAGTGCCTTTTAAGAAAGTGTATTTGCATTTTTTGAGGCAAATAGTTTATTATTTGAAACAGATTGTGCCATGTAAATTTATAGAGGAATCTAAAAGAACTCAAAAATGACCCACAGATAATGCTGTTTAGTTTTTATGTGTTGTCTCATGATTTATTAAGAAGTTGTTCATCCGTACACTAATATAACACATATATCTGAATCCTACCTTGCAGCTGTTTCATTAATATTGATATGAGATTAAGTATTGCTTGCCTCATAGTTGAATCCTAACAGTTGAATATGAGTAGTAGTCTCAGCTTTTTGAGAACTTCTACATTCTGATGATATAGAAGCAGGTAATTGGAGAAACAAATGTGAGAAAGCGAAACATTTATGCATTCAGTTTCCCAAAATGATACCATTGTTAAACTTTGTTTTACACCTATCTTTTAAGGTTTGTCTTGAATGTGGGGAAGATTATTGTTCAGGATGCTTTGCTAAAATTCACCAGAAGGGGGCACTGAAGCTCCACCGAACAACTCTTCTGCAGGTATGACTTTTCTAAAATGCTATACTTGCCAAGTGTTTATAAAATGTTTAAACATAAAGACATTTAAAACATGTTTAATGATCTAGAATCCAGGATGGTTTATAATAATTTCTAAAATTCTATTATATGTACAATCTTGACATATATCTTAAAATCACTTTACTGATCACTAATCTGGATATCTGGATTCTATTTGGCTATTTAGACTGTGGTTTTTATTTATTTATTTATTTATTTATTTTGGACCGGCAGAGTTAGACAGTGAGAGAGAGAAAGGTCTTCCTTTTTCTGCTGTTTCACCCCCCCCCCCCAATGGCCGCCATGGCCGGCGTGCTGCGCCTATCCAAAGCCAGGGGCCAGTGTTTTAATATAAGTTACTGAAACATTTTGCCTGATTACTGTCTTTAGATTACGCATTCTATCTATGAGCTTGACATTTAAGAACTATATGGTTTTTTCATCTATTGTGGTTTTAAATGAATATGTGGTTTAAGTATTTTTATCTAGTTTATAAATAGAAATTTTCATGTTTTCTTCTAATGTTTATTTTAAAAATTTGTTTGTTAGTTATCCTGGCTCATTGTCATTTAAATAAGCTTGCACCTCAGGTTTCTGCATTTCCTTCTACATTTCAGTACCCTGTACTCATTCTTATATAGTCACTTTTTTTTTTTTTAATGACTAAGCTCAAACCGTGTCAGATTGCTTTAAAATTCTAATAGTTAAACAAGAAATAGAATAGGGACGAGGCATTACACATGTTTCATCTAATGACGCCTTGATTCATCATAGATTTCATTCATGTTGGAGGAATTTGCTTAACAAATATTTATCAAGTGCCTTCTAGGAAAGCAGGTGGCCTGTTCTGAGAGGGCAGTGGCAGATTCATAATGCCAGGACCCTGTCCTTTACGACCTGGAGATGAAAGTGAGAACCAAAGACCTTGTGGAGTGGGTTATGGGTTTTAATATTGACTGGTAGCCATAGGGCAGGAGGTGATCAGATCTGTATTTTGAAAGACTCCTGGTCACTGTTATATGTGACAGCAATACAAATATTGGTAGCTCTCAAAGGTTCTCATGACCTGAGTTACAGTAACTGCAAAACAGAAAATAGACCTGACTCATATTAACCTAAGTCAGTTTTGAGTGGCCATTCAATGATTAGAGCAGAAATAATGGAGGGAAAACAAAAAGATAACCTGCCACTTTCCTCCCTTGGGCTGTGATAATCAGACAGTTCTAATAAAATAAAAATAAAATTAAATTAAAAATGAAGTACAGTAAAAAATTATAAAGAAAATAAAATACAGGATTGCTTGTATATAAATAATATAGAATTTAACAAAAGGGACTGCATTTTAAGAGTAAACAGTAAAATTATCCCACTATGAAGTCGTATTAGGAATTTTATCATTCAGTGGTTTGTTCAACACATTCACTTAAACTTCTTATTTATCCATTTATTTGAGAGGTAGAGTTACAGACAGTGAGAGGAGAGACAGAGATAAAGATCTTCCATCCATTGGTTCACTCCCCAGATGGCTGCAATGGCAGGAGCTGTGCCGATCTAAAACCAGGAGCCAGGAGCTTCTGGGTCTCCCACTTGGGTGCAGGGGCCCACAGACTTGGGCCATCTTCCACGGCCTTCCCAGGCAACAGCAGAGAGCCAGACTGAAAGAGGAGCAGCCAGGACTAGAATAGGCACCCACATGGGATGCTGGCGCCACAGGCGGAGGATTAAGCTACTGTGCCATGGCACCGGCCCCCCCATTCATTTAAATTTAACATAGATCCAGCTGATATTGAAGATATAGAGAATAAGATATGGGCCTTTCTCAGGTTTCAAGATTCACCCAGATTTTGTTTTCTTTTTCTTTCTGTCTTTCCCTCCCCCTTCCCAACCATTCCCACCTCCTTCCCTCTCTCTCTTTCTCCCCCACCCCAAACACATACACACATACACACACACACACACAATTTCTAAGAACAGTTAGGCTTTGCCATATAGAGCTTATTGTTATCCATACCCATAAAGGCAACTTGACATAGAATATGTTTTCCTTCTTTCTTTCTTTTTAAGATTTATTTTGTTTATTTGAAAGGCAGAGTTTCAGAGAGAGAGAGAGGCAGAGAGGGAGATCCTTCATCCACTGGTTCACTCCCAAAATGTTTGCAACAGCCAGGTCTGGGCTGGAGTGAAGCAAGTAGCCTGGAACAACTTGGGGTCTCTCACATGGGTGGCAGGGGCCATCCTCTGTGCCTTGGCAAGGAGCTGGATCTGAAGTGGAGTAGCCAGGACTTGAAACACTGTGCTACAATGCCAGCCCCTGGAGTGTGTTTTCTAAACATTGACCATTCATGTTGCATATTACTATCATTAAAGTAGATATATCCCATATCTTAACATAGAAGAGTAGGCTCTCTGTAAACTAGAATCTTATAAAATTCTAAATATAGAATTAATTGAGGAAGTAGGAATATATTTATTGTGTAAATATATTTTATAATAAATTTGTATGCTATTATTTCTTGTGTATAACTTCCTTTAGGTTACATGAAATTTGGACAAAACCTTTTTGGCAATCTATAAAGTATTCTTTTATTTTTTATATATAATTGACTAATTGTGCATATTTATGATGCTTCATTTACGTATCACCTCTATCACATTGCCACTTTCATTTTCTTTTTTCTCCCTTTTATTTCTCTCTCTGTGTGTGTGTGTGTGTGTGTGTGTGTGTGTGTGATAATATTTAAGATTCTGCTAGCATCATATTTTCTAATTTTGATTTTAGGGGTGGGAAGGTTGGTGAGGCATAAAGAGTAAAACTATTTAAGTCACTACCGAATCTCAAACTATAGAAGACAATGTCTCTACAAGTTAGTGTAAATGAATTTCATAGCATATCGAGGGGCCATGGATCTTGATAGATCCTTTCTAATTCAAGGGTTCTTTTCTGTATGTAAAGTTAAGATTGAAGAATGAGAAAGAACCACACCCTCCCATGTACATCTTACTCCTTTGTATTGCTCTCAGATCTGCAGAGACCAAAGTTGTCACTTGGTGCTCTGAGCGGTGGAGTCCTGGGTCATGCATTGCCTCCTATTGAAGGGAAATCCTGAGGCTGAAACTTAGCAAAAAGCATGTGCAGCCTACCTGTACTGGAAGCTAAACGCACACTCCTGTTAAGGTCTTCTTATAAAACATCATTTCACCTACTGAAGTTGCTAAGGAATGAGAGACTTTGAGAGAGACATTTTCCATCCAGATAACTGAATTAAATCTTTCAATTTATTTGTTAAACAAAATTTTATTTATTTTTTTAAAAATATTTGCTTATTTATTTGAAAGGGTTACAGAGAAAGAGGGAGAGACACAGAGACGCAGAGAGAGATCTTCTGTCCACTGATCCACTCCTGAAATGGCCTCCAGGTCTCTCATGTGGGTGCAGGGGCCCAAGCACTTGGCCCAGCCTCTGCTGCTTTCCCAGGCCATTATAAGGGAGCTGGATGGGAAGTAGAGCAGCTGGGACTTGAGCTGGCATCGGCTTTACACACTATGGCACAACACCAGCCCCTATACAAAAACTTTAAATGAAAAAGATGTCTCCCCCCACCCCACCACCAGATTCCACATGTAAATGAGGTCAAGCAGAATCTTTGTGTTTCTGCTTGGCTTATTTTTGTTTGTTTTTTTTTTCATAGTATGCATTCCCATGAATTTTTTGAAGAACTCTAGTATTTGTATATCAAAATTTTATGTTATATACCTTAAATATATAATAATCAACAGATGCACAGATGGATAATATTTTTTGAAGGAAAAATTTTCAAAACTTGTTACATACTCCCTCCCATCTTAGTAAGCAGAGCACAGTGAGAGTAGTCTCACTGATAGTGACTAATGTCCATTCTTATGACCACCTGCTGTTAGAACACTTAGAAAGAGGCCTTGAAAGGCTGATGTCGTCTATAACTGTACATCTTGCTCTAAGGGATTTGCTCTTCTGGTTAGTGCTTCATTTTTCTCCTGTATCTTTCTCTGCCATCTAGTCTTGGCTTTAATCACTCATCCTTTAACTAGCTGCCATTTTCTTATTTCTAACCTCTAATGTTCTTTTTTTCCCTCAGTCATCTTGCTTTTTTCTTCCTTTTTTTTTTTTGCACCATTTCCCCCTAACTTTCTCAGTAAATTAAGATTCTTATTGTTGTTGAGCCTTGTCCTGGAAGGCTGTTTGCTCAGTAAGAATGTATACCCTTTTCTGTTTAATTTCATTAGCCGGTCATATAGCAATTTGAGCTTTTTTAATTATCGAGCTCTGTTAACTCATATTAATTCATATGTAAAAGTTAAGGCTCATATTTGATGAATAAATATTAAGCATTTGAATTTTAAAAACAATCAAAAATTCTAGGCAAATGGTTGTTATACTTTATTTTCTTTAACTTATTATATTGTTTCTGGTTATTATAAAGTATAGCCAGATTGTATAGTTATAAACCATTTCAGCTTATGTTCTATAGCCCAGAGAGCCTAGTGATTCATAGACAGTAGGAGCCATTTTGTACCAGTATGTTTTATTTTACTTCGGAGGTATATCCCAGAAAACCTTGAAGACCAACTGGTACTATTTAATATTGGCTAACACTATAATTTCAAAAGGACGTTCTTTTTATTTATGATTGGTTCATACTTTGCATTGATTAAAAACAATTCAAATTTCTTTTCTCCAATCTCCATTAAATGGTTAATTATCTGCAAAAGAAAAGATAAATATATGAGTGGAATTACCAAGGATGAAAATTTTAGTTCTACTCTGAGGAAGACTATCAACATTAAGGGTTGAAATGGGAGTTTTCTTCAAATAAAAAAGTAAAATCTTATTACATGAGCCATTCCTATTTCCTATTAGCAACATATGACCAGACAAAAGAACAAAGCTAATCAGACAGAATTAAAGATGTGGGGCAACAAACAAAGGGCATTCTGTTGCGAAG